CCACTTAAACTTTTCCTTATCAGCAATAAAGCTGTTTAGTGTTATCATTCCTGTGCTCACTGAAGTAACACTTCGAATTTCTTCAAGAGGTTTTCCTTTACATTCATAACTTGACGAACTGTTTGGCACAAGAGGCCTAGCTTTTGGCCTACCTTCGCTTTTAACATGCTTTCCTCACTAAGTTAAATCATTTCTAGTTTTTTCTAGTTTTCCTTTCACCTAGAAGCAGTTGTTTTTAACTGGCCTAATTTCAATATTATTTTGTCTCCGGGAATAGGGAGGCCTAAGGAGGGGGAATAGGCCAGTTGGTAGAACTGTTAGAACACACACATTTATTGATTAAGTTTGCCATCTTAAATGGGTGAGGTTTGTTGGGCCCAAAACAGTTACAACAAGTAACTTAGGAACATCAAAGATCTTGTTGACAGATCACTATAAAAAATATGATGAAAGAGTTTGAAATGTGAGAATTCCCTAAATGTGACACAGAGACATGAGGTGAACAAATGCTGTTGGAAAAACGGAGCCAATAGACTTGATCCGTGCTGGGTTGCCACAAATCTTCATTTAAAAAAAAACAAAATGGGCACCTGGGTGGCTCAGTCATTAAGCGTCTGCCTTCGGCTCAGGTCATGATCCCGGGGTCCTGGGATCGAGCCCCACACCGGGCTCCCTGCTCAGCGGGGGGCCTGCTTCTCCCTCTCCCACTCCCCCTGCTTGTGTTCCTGCTCTCGCTGTCTCTCTCTGTCGAATAAATAAATAAAATCTTTAAAATAAAAAAAAAACCCAAAAACATACGATGTGGTGAGCACAATAAAACTAGGTATGTATGCCTTTCCAGTGTTATTTATGTTAACGTGATTGGTTTGTGTGATACCCTAGTTTTAATTTCTAATACAGTAAATAACAATATCCGTATCCATGTAAACAAAAGCTATTGGGGATCCTCAGTAATTTTTTGAGAGGGTCCCGAGACAAAAAGCTTGAAAACTACTGTTCTGTAGTAACTGGTCTCATAGTTTCCTTTACGTCCTTGATGTAAAGCACTGGTTCTAAACTTGAGCATGCATTAGTCACCTGGAAGACTTAAGATAGATTGTTGGGCCCGTTCCCCCAGAGTTTTTGATTCAGTAGTCCTGAGGTGGGACCTGAGAATTAGTATTTTTAACAGGTGCCTCGGTGGTGATGCTGTTGGCCTGGAAACTGTATTTTGAGATTCACTGGTGTAAAGAAATACTGTTTATAACGAAGGAAACCTACTTTTTGAGCACCTGCTATCTTATGCTCATAACAACCTGTAGGGAGTTAGGTGTTCTCCCCTTTTTTATTTATTTATTTATTTTAAAGATTTTTATTTATTTATTTGACAGAGAGCAAGCACAAGCAAGGGGAGCAGCAGGCAAAGGGAGAAGTAGGGCTCCCGGCTGAGCAGGAAGCCCGATGAGGGTCTCAATCCCAGTACCCTGGGATCATGACCTGAGCCGAAAGCAGACGCTTAACTGACTGAGCCACCCAGGCGTCCCTCCCCCTTTTTATTATACCTGAGGAAACTGAAACTTGGGGACTCCCAGCTAGAAAAGTACAGCTCCAATTGAAGTTCAAGTCTAACTTCAAGGCCTATTCTCTTTACATAACCTCCTTGCTTCTCTTTTTAATTAGTGATGGTTTTATTGAGATCTAATTCTCGTATAATTCACCCATTTAAAGTATACAATTCAGCAGGGTTTTTTTTTTTTTTTAAGATTTATTTTAGAGACAGCACAAGCAGGAGGGGCAGAGGAAGAGGGAGAGAGAATCACAAGGAGACTCCATGCTGAGTGCAGAGCCAACCCCGGGCTCAATCTCATGACTCTGAGATCACGACCTGAGCTGAAACCAAGAGTTAGATGTTTCACCAACTGTACCACCCACATGTCCCTGGTTTTTTTTTGGCGGGGGAGGAGTTGATTTATTTATTTTAGAAAAACAGCATGCACACATTAGCAGGAGATGGGGCACAGGGAGAGAATCCCAAGCGGACTCCCCACTGAGGGTAGAGCCTGACAGGGGGCTTGATCCCATGATCCCCAAATCATGACCCAAGCTGAAACCAAGAGTCAAAAGCCCAACTGACTGAGCCACCCAGGCACCCCAGCAGTTAGGCGGTTTTTTAATCTACTCACAAAGTTGTGCAACCATTACATCAATTTTATTTTACTTATTTTTTTTAAAGATTTATTTGAGAGAGCAAGAATGAGAGAGAGAGTACATAAGAGGGGGGAGGGTCAGAGGGAGAAGCAGGCTCCTCGCCGAGCAGGGAGCCCGATGCGGGACTCGATCCCGGGACTCTGGGATCATGACCTGAGCCGAAGGCAGTCGCTTAACCAACTGAGCCACCCAGGCGCCCCCATTACATCAATTTTAGAACATTGTCGGTACTCCCAAGAAAGAAACCCTCTACCCATTGGCACTTTGTATTTTCCCTAATCCTATGCTCTTAGACAACCACAAGTGTACTTTCTATTTTTATTTTGGACATTCACATAAATGGAATCATACAATATTTAGTCTTTGTGACTGACTTCCTTTAGTATAACATTTTCAGGGTTCATCTGGGTTGTAGCATGTATCAAAATGTCTTTCCTTTTTATTGCTAAATAATACTCTGTTCTATGGAAATACCACGTTTTATTTATCATTTATTAACTGATGAACATTTGGGTTCTACTTTTTAGCTGTTATGAATAATGCTACTATAAACATTTGCATCCAAGTTTTTTGTGGATATAGTTTTCATTCCTCTTGGGGGCATATACGTAAGAGTGGAATTGCTGGGTCATGTGGTTGTTTTTCATATCTTTATCATATGGTATGTTTTTTTGTTTTTTTAAAGATTTTATTTATTTATTTGAGACAGAAAGAGCACAAGGGAGGGGGAGGGCAGAGTGATAGGGAGAAGCAGACTCCCCGCTGTGCAGGGAGCCTGATGCAGGACTCAATCGCAGGACCTTGAGATCATGACCTGAGCCAAAGGCAGACACTTGGAACTGACTGAGCCACTCAGGCACCCCTGTCATATGGTATGTTTAACCTTGTGATGAACTGCTAGACTTTTTCCAAAGTGGCTCTACTCCCACCAGCAATATATGAAGATTCCAATTTCTTCACATCCCTGTCAGCTTTTTATTATAGCCATCTTATTGGCTTTCAAGTGGCATCTTAATGTGGTTCTGATTTGCATTTCTGTGATAGCTCATGATGTTGGGCAACTTTTCATGTGCTTATTGGCCATTTGCGTATCCTTGGAGAAATGTCTGTTCAGATCCTCTTTTTTTTGTGTGTATGATATGAAGAAGAGGTCCAACTTCATTGTTTTTATATGGATAACCAGTTGTCCCAGCACCATGCTTGGTTATTTATGTGATGTGTCTCCTGTTATCAGATAGATATAATCTCGGGGCTCCTGGGTGGCTTAGTCGGTTAAGCGTCTGCCTTCGGCTCATGTCATGATCTCAGGGTCCTGGGATCAAGCCATGCATCAGGCTCCCTGCTCAGCAGGGAGTCCGCTTCTCCCTCTCCCCCTCCTCCCCTCGTGCATACACGCTCTCTCTCTCCCTCTCAAATAAATAAAATATATTTTTTTAAGATTTTATTTGACAGAGAGAGACACAGCGAGAGAGGGAACAGAAGCAGCGGGAGTGGGAGAGGGAGAAGCAGGCTTCTCGCGGAGCAGGGAGCCTGATGCGGGGCTCGATCCCAGGACCCTGAGATCATGACCTGAGCCGAAGGCAGATGCCTAACGGCTGAGCCACCCAGGCACCCCAATAAATAAAATCTTTAAAAAAGAAAAGAGGGGCGCCTGGGTGGCTCAGCTGTTAGGCATCTGTCTACCCAGGCACCCCAATAAATAAAATCTTTAAAAAAAAAGAAAAGGGGGCGCCTGGGTGGCTCAGAGCCACCCAGGCGCCCCTCAACTCTACTTAATAAAATGTCTTTCTCGAGGCACCTGGGTGGCTCAGTCAGTTAAGCGTCTGCCTTCGGCTCAGGTCATGATCCCAGGGTCCTGGAATCAAGCCCTGCATCAGGCTCCTTGCTCAGTGGGGAGCCTGCTTCTCCCTCTCCCACTCCCGCTGCTTCTGTTCCCTCTCTCGCTGTGTCTCTCTCAAATAAATAAAATCTTTAAAAAAAAATAAAATTAAAAAATTAAAAAAAAGAAAAGATACAATCTCTCATCTGCCTTCTTTTTACCTTCCTAGACCAGTGTTTAGAGTTTAGATATGTGTGTCTGAAGGAAAAATCTTTTTTTCAAATTACATACTATACATGGCATTCTTTCATGCTGCTTTGTATGCTGAGGTAACAGCAATAAGAAATGAGCTGCATTATCATCAGAAATGTGTGATTCAGGATATAGTAACCTTCCTTAGATTATCAGGAATCTTGTGGGGTTTTTTTTTTTTTTAATGGCTCCTTTATTAAAACAAAGTTATCTTAATTAAGCACTCTTTGCTTAAAATTAAGCATTTTAGTAGCAATGTTGGGAGATCCCTCCAAAAGGGATTTCAAGAGTTTCGTCTCTACTGTGTTTTTCACTAGTCTGTGGTGGAAGTAGTTTTGATCCTGGGTTGAGAATTGCATGCCTGTGAAATGTACTTATCTCACTGATCTTTTAGAACATTGGTCCCCACACTTTTTACCACTCAACCCATGGATAAACTATTTTTTAAACATACACCAAAATATATTTTTATAAATTGCATACTTGTAAGCAGAAGTTCTGGTATTTTCTTCATAGATCCTATTTGATGGTCTTGCTTGCTCTGGTAGGTAATTGTTGTTCTAAATGCTGTGTGATGCTGGAAAATTTTGCATTTGGTTTTGGGGATTGTGGCCTCAGAAGCCTTGGGTATGGCAGCTCCTTCTCCTCACATTACCTAGGGTCCCTGTCTGAGATCTCTTCCTTTTGGGGCTGGATTCTTAATGTTGCCTGGTTCACTCACTGCTGAATCTTGTCACTGCAGGTACAGGTGCAGGTACAGCAGTCTCCGCAGCAGGTCTCGGCTCAGCAGCTCTCCCCGCAGCTCACTGTTCACCAGCCTGCTGAGCAGCCCATCCAGGTCCAGGTGCAGATCCAAGGCCAAGCACCACAGCCGGCGGCCCCTTCCATCCAGACCCCGTCTCTGCAGAGTCCCAGCCCTTCACAGCTGCAGGCAGCCCAGATCCAGGTGCAGCACGTGCAGGCAGCCCAGCAGATCCAGGCTGCAGAGATTCCAGAGGAGCACATCCCACATCAGCAGATCCAGGCTCAGCTGGTGGCTGGCCAGTCTCTTGCTGGGGGTCAGCAGATCCAAATCCAGACCGTGGGTGCCCTTTCCCCACCACCGTCTCAGCAGGGCTCACCCCGGGAAGGGGAACGGCGGGTTGGCACAGCCAGTGTCCTCCAGCCAGTGAAGAAGCGCAAAGTGGACATGCCCATCACTGTGTCCTATGCCATCTCAGGGCAGCCGGTGGCTACCGTGCTGGCCATTCCACAGGGCCAGCAGCAGAGTTATGTGTCTTTGAGGCCAGACTTACTGACAGTAGACAGTGCCCACCTGTACAGTGCCACTGGGACCATTACTAGCCCTACAGGAGAAACCTGGACCATCCCTGTTTACTCTGCCCAGCCCCGTGGGGATCCTCAGCAGCAGAGCATTACCCACATTGCCATTCCCCAGGAAGCCTACAATGCAGTTCACGTCAGTGGCTCACCCACGGCCCTGGCAGCTGTAAAGCTGGAGGATGACAAGGAGAAGATGGTGGGCACCACATCTGTAGTGAAAAACTCCCATGAAGAGGTAGTGCAGACCCTTGCAAACTCTCTCTTTCCAGCACAGTTCATGAATGGCAACATCCACATTCCAGTGGCTGTGCAGGCTGTGGCAGGCACCTACCAGAACACAGCTCAGACTGTCCATATATGGGACCCCCAGCAGCAGCCACAACCACAAACCCCCCAGGAACAGACGCCGCCGCCGCCACCGCAACAGCAGCAGCAGCAGCTCCAGGTTACTTGTTCAGTAAGTGAAGACTTATCTGTAGGGCAGCCCGCTCCCCCAGGGCCCAGTGCAACACAGAACTTCCCTGGCAACCTCTGGCTTGTTTACTGCAATGTTGAGTTGAGGCTGGGGAGGAGGAATAGAAGCAGCAGGTGAAAACTATGGAACAGGCAGGAGTTCTGTCCTGGTACCTGGAAGGAGATGAAATGATCAATAACTGCTTTGGAGGTAGATGCCTCGGATGCTTCTTTGTAATCTCCTTTTAAGAAGAATAAAGTTCTAGGGAAGGACTAATGGGACATGCATCACAAATGAATGGATCTAGTGGAACCCTTGTAGTTTAGTACACAGGCTATAAACCCATCGCAGCGGAGGGGCTGTGGAATTACTCTTTTTTAGTTATCATCTGTGGACAGAGTGTAGGTGAATTAGAAGATCTAAAATACTTCCTGGTGGGCCTGTTAAAAGTGATCACCTTTGGGAGTGTCAAATAAGCCACCACTGCCGGTGTTTTTATGTTCCTTAAAAATAAGCCTTGGTTAATTTTCTGTTATGGAACCTATGTTGAAAAAAATGTTTTGACTTTTTGTTTTGAACTAATCTTAGACTGACAGAAAATAGAACTCTTTTGAAATTCTAACTTTAAAAATTGGCTCTTTTTTCTAATTGTTAATTTTTTTTTTTTTTTAAGAGAGCGTGTTGGTGTGACCAGGGGCAGAGGGAGAGGGAGAGAACCTTAAGCAGACTCTGTGCTTAGTGTGGAGCCCGACTTGGGGCTCGATCTCATGACCCTGAGATCATGACCTGAGCCAAAATCAAGAGTCGAGGCTTACCTGAGCCACCCAGGTTCCCCTAATTGTTAAATCTTTTTAAGGATACCACAGAGGTGTGGTTAAATTTATTCCTTAAGACTGTTAGCAAACTTTAGGGCCTCTGGTCTCATGGCACTGCTGAACACAGTGTGCCTCAGAGGGCAGGGGCTCCTGGGAATGCATGCAAGGGAGCTAGCATAAACAGAGCACTGTTAGACCAGGGGCCATACTCAGAAACTCAGGCCGTAAGCAAAGGCTGACCAAGTGGTTTCATAGAGAATGGTATATCATTGTAGGTGACTTTGTTAAGGACCTATTAAATACCTAGCTGTCAGTCCTAGAAATAGAACAAGACAGAATCATTGCTTCAGGTAGCTTATAGTCCACTTTTAGAGTAAGAATGTTGATTTCTATTTTCTGAATTCCTTATAAGGCAGCATAATCAAGTGTGACGTTGTATGTTCCACACACACACAAAAACAAACTGGGTGTTCAGAGACCATTCTAGGTTAAAAAGTCAGCAGAGGCGTCATTGTGAGAAAGGTGGCATTTGATCTCTATACCTTCAACTGGCAAGAATGGAGCAACATCATTACAGAGCCAGGGATGGACAGAAGGGACATGGCTTAGTGCAACACGAGAGGGGGACTATGGGAGAGGAGTTAGTACAGGGAGCAAAGGATTTATTTTCCCAAAGTGAAGAGCTTGACCTGATCTCTGGTAGGAAATTTTTCCAGAATCCTAAGAATCAAGTACAGATGTGTAGAATTAATTGCGTGAAGGAGAGACCAGCCTGGAGAATTGTGATGTAGCTCAGCTTCTGCTCACAGGGATGGGAGGACATCAGGCCTCTCCTCAGCTTTACTGGGCCTGATGGTCCAATTTGCAGGTCAGGCCTCTTTTGATGCTCATCAGTCTCTGTAATTTCCACTTCTGGGCCCTTAAGCAAGAGAAGATCTTTTGGGGAGTTCATTTTAGTAGGCCCATGTTCTTCAGAGGCAATGTCTCCTTTGGGAAAGTCTTAATAGGAATGAATGTCAGGTATTACCAGAAAAGGAAAAATTGAGAAGAACACACATCATGTAGGAAAGGTGAGTTTGTCCATTTATACCCCAAACATCCCTCTGCCTGCCTTATTAGGCTTAGTGCCAGGTGTTCAGGAACAGATATGATAGTCTCTGCTCTTGGAGTAATCCCAGTCCATGGGGAAGGTAACTGTGCTGTGATGTGAGTTGAACCCTAAGGAGAGCTGATGATAAAGTGTTGTGTTCTTCACCTGGCATACCCTTTATGAAAATTCTCTTATCACCTGCCTTTAAAACCAGATTTATGGTGAAACCTCCCTCCCTTGAGCTCACATCCACCTCCATCTATTTCCCCATTTCTCCACTCTGCTTTATTCCCAGAGTTCTCAAGCATTATCTGTACAAGCTGATTCTACCTACTAACCAGTTTTCTCTTCAATTTGTGACGGAGTTTGTTCTTGTCAAGGTCAGCAGTGACCTCCCGGTGGCCAGATCCAACAGGCATGTCTGTTTTTATCTCACAGCAACGTATGACACAACAGACCATACCTGCCTTCTTGGAATTCTCCTCTGGCATGGTTTTCCTCCTACCCCCACTGGTTCTTTTTCCTTCTCAGGAGAGTTTGCTGGTGCTTCTCTATCTGAACCATACATGTTAATGTTCCTCAGAACTCAGTACTAGCCTTCTTTTCTCCCTAAAGAATTTCTGTCTGTGGCCATGGTTTTCAGCACCCTCTAGATGGCTGGTGACACTGAAGATGATAGTCATTGACACTATCTGCCAGGCACTATTTCAGTGTTACACAGGTTAACTCATTTAATTCTCACACCAACTTTATGAGGTAGGCACTGCTATCTCCATTTTACAGATGAAGAAACTGAGACACGGATTAAACAACAAGACCAAAGCCACGATTAGTAAGTAGCAGAGTTGGGGTTCAGCCCTGGACAGGCTGGCTCTGGAGCCCATGTCTTATACCCTATGCTGCGTTGAGACACAAATCTTTACACCATGGCTTTCCCTTTGAACCTTTCTCATGCATCCAGCAGCCTATTTTTCACTTACTTCGATTTATTAAAGATATCTCAGCCCTTCAGCATCACCTCTGCCGCTATTGAAAACTTCTCTCAGGGCACCTGGCTGGATCACTTGGTAGAGCATATGACTCTTGATCTTGGGGTCAATGAGTTCTAGCCCCATTTTGGGGGTAGAGTTTACTTTAGATAGATAGATAGATAGATAGATGGATGGATGGATGGATGACCTGGGGCACCTGGGTGGCTCAGTTGTTTAGGCATCTGCCTTCGGATCGGGTCATGGTCCCGGGGTCCTGGGATCGAGCCCCACTTCAGGCTCCTTGCTCGGTGGGGAGTCTGCTCCCTCTCCCTCTGCTCCTCCCCCTGCTTGTGTTCTCTCTGTCTCAAATAAATAAATAAAATCTTTAAAAAAAAAGATAGATAGATGACCTGTTTTTTAAAACAAAAGCAAAACTTCCCTTCTCAGAAAATGGTACCATCATCCACCATTTGTTTAAACCAGAAACCCAGGAATCATCCTTGAGTCTGCTTTCCCTTACTCTTCACAGCCAACTCTTCAACAAGACACTTTGGTTCTGCCACCACACTTCTCAGCATTTCTCTCCATTGCCATCCTAGTCCAGGCCACCAGCACCTTTGCTCTTCAATCCATTCTCCATAAATCAGAAAATATATATTTTTTTTAATGTAAGATTATGTCACTTCCCAGCTTAAAATTCTCCAAGGACTCCATTATAAAGTGGAAGGAAAACTCTATACCACAGTGTACAAGGCCCTACTTACCTCAGTACTTTTCATCCTGGTTGGGATCACTACTACCCCTACCCCCTGATAGACATTTAGACATGTAAAAGGATTTTGTTGTCAAGATGCTTGGGGATGCTACATTAGTAGGTGAAGGCACACAGTGAAAGGGGCCTGGCTAAACACCAGAAGCAAAGTACTGCCCCACATGCCCTGGCCCCCACCTACTTATCTAGTCAGACTCCTAGATTTCTAGCTTGGGTAAATGGTATTGCCATTGAACAAGGTAGGGAGGGAACTCTGAGGAGAATGGTTCTGGATGGGGAAAGTGATAGTTCTCTCCATAGGTGGTAGTCTGAGGTGGTATAAGATGTTCATTTGGAGACATACAGTACTCCCTGGGTATATTAAGTCCAGGTCTAGCTTGGAGGTGCATAGTTAGCAATCAATTCCACAAACATGGAAATCCAAACTGGAAAAGTGGGTAAGACTCACCAAGGAGATTGGTAGTTGAACTGTGTCTAGAGTGGAGCTTCTAGGTTGATAAACATTTAAGAGCCTCACACAATACTGCTTTATTTCCTTGTTTAATTATCTTTTGAAAATGAAGAGAGTTTTTACTTTTATTCATTGATAAGCAGATTCATGTGTCATAAATAAATAATTTTGCCTTCAATTTGAATGATTGACATTCCTTAGCCCTTTGGGTAGGCACTGGCATGGAGAATTGCTCAAAGGAATTTGTTCAGAATATAGACAGGTGTGTGAGACCCAAGAACCTATGCCTGGTATACTTTGTTGGTGTCTCTCCCACCCAGTATGGGGTTTGTGATTGACGCTAATGGATATTTCCTCCGCCTTTGTGTGCACAGCTTGGCTGTTAGACCATTGAGGACAAGATGACTCTTCCTTTGGAGGCAGGAAGCTAGAGCAGTGCCTCCGGTCTTCAGAAAATGCCCTTAGGAAATAGAGCAGTATTACTGAGAAGGAATTTTGGGGGGAAAAATCAACCTTATATATAGCTAGAGAAACCATATACATCTTCAGGTCTTCTCATCTTTCAATGGCAGGAGAGAGAACACAACTTTTGTTTGTTGTACTTTTCTAAAGCGATAATTTTCAACCATGGCTGGACATAAGAATCACCTGGGAGCTTTTAAGAATACTGATGGCAGGCCACCATCTTAGAGCAGTTAAATCATATAATCTGTAGGGATAAGGCCCAGGCATGGATATTTTCTAAAAGCAGCCCAGATATTTTTAAAGTGCACCCAAGTTTAATGGTCACTACTCTGGACACTTGGTATTCAAAGTGTGGTCTGCAGACCAGCTCCCTTACTTGGGAACTTGTTAGAAATGCAGAGTCTCAGGTCCCACCTGAGACCTTTCGAATCAGAATCTGCACTTTAATAAAATCCTTAAGTGATTTTTTTGCACCGTATGACAATCAGTGCTTTGGGCCAGGAGTTCTTTTTTTTTTTTTGTTAGTCTTTTGTGTTTTCTTTATTTTACTCAGTTGGGCCAGGAGTTCTGAACAGTGACTAAACTTTAGAATTGCCTTTTTATGTGGGAAGGTTTTTGAAAGACTAATCTCTTTAAAAAGAGATTCTGGGGTAGAGCCCAGATATTGGTATTTCTAATTCAGAGATTCAGAAGTCCAGCCAGGGCTGAGAAGCACTGCAGTAGCCTTAACTGTCCCTGGGGTAAGGAGTAGAACTCCAACGGTCTTTGAAAGTAAGATAACAAGTAGAAGAAAGATTATTTTTTATTAAAAGAAACACAGGTAACATTTTTCTAGCAGTTTTGTGGAAGGGCCTGGTGCAAAACAATATTGACACATTTTGATGGTTTCTCTCTTATAGGCTCAGACTGTCCAGGTTGCTGAAGTTGAACCACAGTCACAGCCACAGCCTTCCCCAGAACTTCTGCTTCCAAATTCTCTGAAGCCAGAAGAAGGGCTTGAAGTATGGAAAAACTGGGCCCAGACCAAGAATGCTGAGCTAGAGAAGGATGCTCAGAACAGACTGGCACCCATTGGGAGTAAGTGTTTGTGAGGGAGAGAGGGTGGTGGACTCTGTCTAAAATGTAGTGAAACAGGGGGAGGACAGAATGGCAGGAAAGTGGTGTCCCTTGGCTCTGGGGGTTAGGAATCACCATCTGAAATAGTATGCTGAATTCAGGACAAGCAACAAACAGACCTGACCTGCAAATGAGCAGGATTTATGGTGTTCGCCCAAGACCAGGCATTTTTGTACACATGGATTTCTAAAGTCAACCTAGCAGATCTGGGCACAGTGAATTCTAGAAGGAGTTAGGAACCAGTGACTGTCTTCAGGGCCCTTCTTCCTTAACATTATGTTCATATTCTTCCTCACCTAACAGAGCGTGGATTTTGTGGGTTTTTAGCTTTCGTGTCTTGGCCCTAATAATAATTTTGAAGATATGTGAGGTGGGGCAGATTGTGGGAAGGAAACCCTTAGTGTAAATAGGGCATACAGGATTATTGTCTTAGTAAGCCAGTTCTGATCTTAGATATATGTGATCATTTCCATCCTAGCCCCCTGATGGTCAGTATCTTCTCTGAGCCCTCCTTCTGGGGATATGAGCAGCCAGTTAAGAGATTACTGTTGCCAGGACCCCCATTCACCTTTGGGGGTCATTTTTGGCTTGTGTTGCAGGGCGCCAACTGTTGAGATTCCAGGAAGATCTCATTTCTTCTGCTGTGGCTGAGTTGAATTATGGGCTCTGTCTAATGACGCGGGAAGCTCGAAATGGAGAAGGTGAACCCTATGATCCAGATGTGCTCTACTATATTTTCCTGTGTATTCAGAAGGTAGGAAACAGAACTTCAAAGGAACATGTTTGAGCTGTGTTTCTGTTGGGTATTTGCTGGTTACTCAAATTAGTAAAATGATAAGCAGGTGGTTATAAGGAAGTTCTCTTTCAACTATATGAGTTTTAATTTTTTTAAAATTTTATTTAAATTCAGTTAGTTAACATAAAATGTATTAGTTTTAGGGGTAGAACTCATTGGTTCATCAGTTGCCTAGAACGCCCAGTGCTCATTATATCACGTGCCCTCCTTAATGCCCACCACCCAGTTACCCCATCCTCCCACCCACCTCCCCTCCAGCAACCTTCAGTTTGTTTCCTATAGTTGAGTCTCTTATGGTTTGTCTCCCTCTCTGACTTCATCTTATTTTATTTTTCCCTCCCTTTCCCTATGATCCTGTTTCGTTTCGTTCCACATGAGTGAAATCAACTATATAATAAGTTTTTTAATGTACATTTTTAAAAATTGCAGAAGACCTAACATGTTCACTTTAAAAAAATAAAATAGACATCAGCTATAATCCCATCATCTAGAGAAACTTTTGTTAAAATATCTGTTATAGTATCTTAGAGCCTTTTTAAAAAAATCACAAAGCATTTATATAATGGTACTTTTCTTCTCATTAAAGTATACATGGTTTACATAAAAGTAATTTATCCAAAACAAAGTTTGGTGCTAACTAACATTCAGCTCATTTTCTCATTGTTCCCTGCATTAACACAAAATAATTATTTGAGAATCTAGCTGGAATATACAACTGTAGGTAGGCTTTCAGGACATCTAAGGTGTAGCATAATAGGGAAACTTGATTTAGGACTGGCAGTTTAGGAGAGCAGGGGTGGATTTCTTAGTGTGTGAATGCTCTTGTGGAAAAGCCCACAGCATGATGGAAGAGCACTTGCTGGTTGGGACTCACCCTGTTGCCTGGGCCTAAGAAAAGTCTGCCTCCCAGTTTATTTTTCTTTCTTCCTAGTCATCCAGGGCACTGAGTGAATTGCTTTGCATGCTCTGTTTCATTCCGTGCTCTCTTCCTAGTCCTGGAAAGCAGGCACAGTCATTTCCACTGACAAAAAAAACTGAGCCCCAAAAGTTAAAATACTCACATGAGTTGCTTAACTTACACCATAACTAATAAGAGGCTGGCCCCAGAGCCTGCATTATGTTTTTTGCTACCACAAGATAGTACCTTGCCTGGGTGAAATAGCATTCACAAAATCTGTCCCATTGACCCAGCTCTCCAGAGTGTTAGGAGAGTCATTTCACATGATCTGAAGTGTACTGTGGAAGTGTCATATGCTGGTCATTTTTGACCTGTTGTGTTGGTTTGTTAAGGAGGCAGAGATGGGTAGGGAGAGCTGATGATACTGGTAGCACAATGTTTATTTCCCCTGAAAGTTTTACTCAGGAGATTACCAACAACTTTTTTTTTTTTTTTTTTTTTCCAACAACTTTTATTGTTTTTCTTTTAGTATCTTTTTGAAAATGGAAGGGTTGATGACATTTTCTCCGATCTTTATTATGTTCGATTCACGGAGTGGCTACATGAAGTTCTGAAAGATGTTCAGCCCCGAGTCACTCCACTTGGTAAGAGTCTTCCTAGTCCTTGGATGTCTTTTCCACCTGGGTTTAAAAAAGGTCAGCTGCTTGTGTGGCTGGCTATGATACAGCGTGTGGGTGAGGAGGCAATAAATCCTAGGTACCAGCGTCAACTTCTGTGCTGCTTGGCCTGATACGGAAGGGGCACTGCACACCAGACAGAGAACCCGGCTGGTCCCAGTGTGGCAAGGACATGGGGGCATGCAGAGAGTTGGGGTAGTTATTTTTTTTTTTAATTAAGATTTATTGATTAAAATTAGAATCATTGCATTAAGAATTATGAGCTGTTTCATCTGTAGGTTACTCATGTTACATATTGGGGTTTTTTTTTCATGTGTTTGAACATATACATATATATATATATATATTTTCTACATATATAGAACATAATTTTTGCTTTACCCATATAAACACCTGAACAGCATGTGTTGGAAAGAACAGTTTTACAGTAGAATGTCTGAGGTGTTTGTGTTTTGTTTTTAAAAAACTTTTATCTTTTTAGAGCAATTTTAGGTTTACAGAAAAAATTGAGCAAGACATACAGAGAATTCCCATATATTCCCTCACACACGGCTTCTTCTATTATTTAATATCTTGTATTAGTGTGGTGTACTTGTTATAATTGATGAGCCAATTCTGATGTTAGTAACTAAAGTCTATAGCTTACATTAGGGTTCACTCCTGTTCTACATTCTGTGGGTTTGGACAAATGTATAATGACATGTATCTATAATTACAATATCATATTTAAGTTTCAGGGCTCTAAAATCCTCCGTGTTCCACCTATTTATCTCCCTCCCCGCCGAATCCCTGGCAGTTACTGATTTTTCACTGTTCATAAGTTTTGCCTTTTTCAGAATGTCATATAGTTGGAATAATTCAGTATGTAGCTCTCTCAGATTGGTTTCTTTCACTTAGCAATATACATCTCATGTTCCTGTGTCTTTTCGTGGCTTGATAGCTCATTTATTTTTATTGCTAAATAATAATCCATTGTATGGATGTACCACACAATTTCTTTATCCGTTCACCTATTGAAGGACATCTTCCTTGCTTCCAAGTTTTGGCAATTATAAATAAAGCTACTATAAACGTTGTGTGCAGGTTTCTGGTAAAAGAATAGACAAATCACTGGAATAGAATAGAGAGCCCAGAAGTAGAGTCACACAAATATAACCAGCTTATCTTTGACAAAGGAGTAATGGCAGTTCAATGGAGAAAGAATAGTCTTTTCAACAAATGGTGCTGGAACAGCGGGACACCCACATACAAAAAAATGAATCTAGACGCAGACCTTACGCCATTCACAGAATCAACTCAAAATGGGTTATAGACCTAAGTGTAAAACACAAAACTATACAACTCCTAGAAGATAACATAGGAGAAAATCTAGGTGACCTTGGGTTTGGTAGTAACTTTTTGGATATAACACCAAAAGCACAATCCATGAAAGAAAATAATTGATAAGTTGGACTTCATTAAAATTAGAAAGTTATGACCCATTCGGAAAGACACTTTTAAGAGAATGAAAAGACAAGCCACAAACTGGAAAAAAATCTTGTGCAAAACACATACCTGATAAAGGATTGGTATCCAGAATACACAAAGAACTCTTAACACTCAACAATAAAAGTAAAATTAAAAAAAAAACCTGATCCAAAAAAATGGGCAAAAGATCTGAACAGATTCCTCATCAAAGATATACAAGTGGCAGATAAGTATATGAACAGATGTTTATCATTAGGTATCATCCAGAAATTGCAAACTAAAATGAGATACCACTATACACCTATTAGAATGGCTAAAATCACAAACAGTGGCAGCCCCAAATGCTGGATAGGGAGCACAAGAATGTTCATTCTTTGCTGGTGGGAATGCAAAATGTTATAATCCCTTTATAATAGTTTGACGTTTTCTTTAAAAAGTAGACATTTTCTTTTTTTTTTTTTTAAAGATTTTATTTATTTATTTGACAGAGAGAGAGAGGGAGAGCACAAGTAGAGCGGCAGGCAGAGGGAGAAGCAGGCTCTCCGCTGAGCAGGGAGCTGGACATGGGGCTCGATCCCAGGACCCTGGGATCATGACCTGAGCCGAAGGCAGCTGCTTAACCGACTGAGCCACCCAGGCACCCCAAAAAGTAGACATTTTCTTACCTTATCATCCAGCAGTTGTGCTCCTTGGAATTTACCCAAATGAGTTGAAAGCTTAAATCCACACAAATATCTGAGTTTTAATGCTGGCTTTACCATTTATTAGAATGTGTGCTAGCAGCTTAAACTTTTTTTTCCCATCAAAAAAATCTAACTGGAATTAAAATAAAAACTTTTTTAAAAAATTGAGATATAATTGACATATACTAGTTTTAAGTATACAATATAATGATATGTGTATATCTTGTATAATGATCTAGTTTAGTTAACATCCGTCACCACAGAGTTACATGCTTAACCTTTAAGAAAGAAATTATTGGTTAAACAAATACTTTTTGAATGCTTGCTATGTGCCAGGCATTATTCCAGGTGTAGATAACATAATATTGTAGTGAACAAAATGGAGCTTATAGTCTAATAGGGGGAGGCAGTGTGTAAATAACCAGTTTATGATTAAGTGTCTTAAAGAACAAAGCATAGGGGAATGGAAAGTGTTAAGGGCATTAGGAGGGAGGCCTTTCTGAGGGGCTGTCATTAGAACAGAAACCAAGTAAGTGAATCACTACATGATTTGCAAATTTTCAAGTCAAGTGTGGTTATGCAGAGTTTGCTTTTTAAAAATTGTATTATGGAAATTTCGAGCACATATAAAAATTAAACAACAGATAAATGACATTCCCATGTACCCACCGTCCATGGCATATCTTGTGTCATGTGTACACCTGTTTTTCCCCTCCTGTATTATTTTGAAATAATTCCTAGACACTTCATAAATATTTTAGTATGCTTGACATACCATGATGCCATTATTATACTTGAAAAAAAGATAATTCCATAATGTCATCAAAGTCTACCCTTTGTTCAAATTTCTAAGTGTCTCATAAATGTCATGATCTTGTTTGAGTCAAGGTGCAGATAAGGTCCACACATTGAAATTACTGATTTGTTTCAATATTTAGCTTTAATCTTTAATTTTCTCCTTGATTCTATTTCTTGCAATTTTTTATGGAAGAAACTAGCCATTGATTGATTGAGAAAGAGTGTGTGGGAGTGCTTGGGGAGGGAGGGACTGAGGGGGAGAGAGAGAGAGAATCTCAAGCAGGCTCCATGCCCAGCGTGGAGCCCAGCATGGAGCTTGAGCCCACGACCCTGAGGTCATGACCTGAGCCAAAACCAAGAGTCAGATGCTCAACTGGCTGAGCCACCCAGACACCCTGAAACTAGCCTTTTAAATCGTCAGTCCGATTACATCTCCGATTACATCCCCAAATTGTAGTTTAACATAGTCTTCTGTTCCCTTATATTTACAGTTAATTGGTAGTTCGATATAAAGACTTCATTGATCAGGTTTTGATTTTTGTGTTTTCTTTATGGCAAGGTTATATCATAGTTGTGTTATATACTTCCATCTGATACCCATAATATCTGTTTTCATTATTAGTTCATTAAGAGTTGCAATTGATGGCATTCTGATGTTATTCTTCATTATTAGCTGAAGTACAGAGCAAAACTTTCCCTTGATCACTATTTGAATACCTAGCAGCATAGATAATTTTATAGGATTTTTAGGAGATTTTCTAGGAGAGGCAGGATAAGGGCTTATTCTCTTTGTTTAGCAGTTTTTATGGTAATGAGTTGATTCAACAGTTTCATCCAGTGATAACCGATTCACTTTTTTTAAGGAATCATTGTGAACTAATGAGTTTAAACATATTTAATTTGGTTCAGTCCATAGCAGTTACCTTTTTTGCTGTGCAGATTGTTCCATCTTGAGCCATTTGGAACCTCTTAAATTGGCTTTTAAGTTCTTTTGACATGGCCCTGTTTCCTTGATTTCTGATTTGCCAGATGTTCCAGGCTGATCTTGGATATTTTCTATTTTCTGTCTCAATGTGGAATTGATCAGTTCTCCATGAGACTGGTTCCTTTTAGTGTAAATGGTATTTTAAGTATCATAGTCTGGATGCACAAGGGTGTTCATTTCTCCTGGGTTGGTCATTGTTCGTAAGCCTTTCAGTGGGAAATACTAAAAAAAGATAAAATAGGTCATTTTGTTGCTTGCAGTCCAGATTGAGAACTATAAAGTTTTTATATGATGTCCCTATCTGCGTCTCCCTTCTCCCATGCCAAGGGTCCTGGTTTTTGACCCTAAACTTCACTTTAAGTTTTATTAAGAAGTGGTTAAAGCTAGGGAAGCTCATATAAATGGCAGAGTGAAGTAAACCCTAGAAAATAGCGCATGCCAAGATACGTGTCATACCACTTCTACCACTGGCTTTCCCCAAGGAGGGCTGTCTGTGCCACTCATCTGCTTCAGATATGTTTGAGGGCAGGGAAGCTTATCTCATTAACAGTAGGCCACAAAATAGAAGAGTAGAGGCAGAGCTGCCCTGGAGAGATGGGAGTGCACTTAATGGAGTCAGAGGGCCAGCTTTGGCAGGAGCAGAGAAGAGGAATGTGTTGGGCAGAATATTTCTTTCCCCGCTTCTAGGAAGTGACATCCTTGCTGCCTGCCTGGAGGATCCTGAAACTCCTGCAGGAGAATGCTTTCACCATGGCCTCAGTACCTGGCACACAGACACTTGTACATTAACTGTTGAGTGACACATGAAGGGGGCTTGGTGATCAACTCAAGTATCCTCTTCCTTTAGTGTAGACCTGGCTGCACCCTGGCCTTTGCCCCTGCCCAGCTCTCAGTTCATTTACGAACCAGGGTCTTAAAGTAAAACCTGCCCTGTCGGGGAATCCTGTAATAGTTCTGAATATCATTCTCCCCTTTATCCAGAGGGGATGAGAATGGGTTTGTTTTCTAGAAGTGGAAAACGTGAGAGGTTTAGCAAGGGCAAACAGGTGCACCCATACCAGTTCTTTGGGCCCTTGACACCTGAAAATATGATGAAAGCTCTGTACCCTCTTTTAGAGAAGTATGCATATTTGCAGAGTTTGATTTATAGTTTTGGGTGTTCCAGTATTTTCTTGCCCCACTTTAACCTTGGATTAGAGGAAGAATTAACATCAGGTAAGAGCAAGCTTATAGGGCAGTGGTTCTCAGGAACTTGTTAGAAATGCACATTATCAGTTCCCACCCCGGAAACTTGGGCTGGGACCCAGCCATTTGTGTTTTAACAAGCTTCCAGATGATTCTGCCATTCCCTAGGGAGATTTTTCTGGTTAAACTTGTACTCTTTTGTGGTCCTTGTGCCTCCCACCTCCCATCCTGCACCTCTTGAGGGCTCACCTGCCACCCTCTTGTTGTAGCAGTGCTCTATTCCTCCTAGGCTATGTCCTGCCCAGCCACGTGACTGAGGAGATGCTGTGGGAGTGCAAGCAGCTCGGGGCTCACTCCCCTTCCACCCTGCTGACCACCCTCATGTTCTTTAACACCAAGTAAGTGTTCTAGAAGCTCCATGCTTAGCCACTGCTGGCATCTGCCCAGTGAAGAGGGTGGAAACTATCCAGGTAGATATAGGAATTCGTTTGACACATATTTGAGAGCCTTTGGGCTATTAAAAGCCTTCAGCCCCACTTGGCTAAATTTGTGTGGTGACCAGTGAGGCATACAGCCTTGCCAGAACCCTGCCATCAGTCTTGATGTGGTTCCTCCACTAGACAGTGTTTTTGGGTATGGGCCTGCCCAGAGTGTGCACAGCGGCTCCTCTGAGGCACTGATGGCAGAGGGTAAGTCATAGTCTCCTCCTGGCACCCCTCCCTTTGCCTTGCTTTCACTTGTGGTGCAGATACTTCCTGTTGAAGACAGTGGACCAGCACATGAAGCTGGCCTTCTCCAAGGTTTTGCGACAGACAAAGAAGAACCCCTCTAATCCTAAGGATAAAAGCACGAGTATTCGATACCTGAAGGCTCTTGGGATACACCAGACTGGCCAGAAAGGTAGGGGCTGCAGAAACAGTTGCAACTTGTCCTTCCCTGCCCTTGTGCCTGGGGGGTTAGTGTTGAGTGTGAAGGTTGGGATTTGCTGGATAGGAATTCTCCATTCCCTTCTCCTCACCTAGAAACTTCAAACTCTTCTCGAAGCAGAGATGCCCCAGAAACGATTGCTGCTTTTTCCCTTCATGCCTCACACCCTTTCCTCTCCTGATAAGTCTAGTTGGGATGGTTAGAAGCATAAGGTTCTTTTTTTTTTTTTTTTTTAAGATTTTATTTATTTGACAGAGACACAGCGAGAGAGGGAACACAAGCAGGGGGAGTGGGAGAGGGAGAAGCAGACTCCCCGCTGAGCAGGGAGCCCAATGTGGGGCTCGATCCCAGGACCCTGGGGTCATGAGCTGAAGGCAGACGCTTAACAACTGAGCCACCCAGGCGCCCCCAAGCCTGAGGTTCCTAATCTGGTCCTGAGCTAAGGCAGTCTCATGCCATGTCCCTGGTGGTGGGGGTGTGTTTTATAGTTACAGATGACATGTATGCAGAACAGACGGAAAATCCAGAGAATCCACTGAGATGTCCCATCAAGCTCTACGATTTCTACCTCTTTAAATGGTGAGGAAGCTTTATGGTGGCTGGGTGACTGTATGTGTGCATGAGTGCACTGTTACCTGTGTATAAGGCATTCTTTAGTCCCAAACAGAGTAAAAACACATTTCCAAAAAGCTAAATATAGAAGCAGCCTGACTGGTTTCCCCAAAGCATATGAAATGACTAGCATTGTGATTTTATATGGTCTCCTGTCTTGGAGAGGGGAATGGGGGAGATGGAGGAAAGTATAGAAAGGCGGCCTCCATCAAGTAGCATCTTCCTGGCCTTGACCTTTGTCACTAGCAACATCAATCTAGGGGGGATATCTTTCCTTGGCTTTTACTCTTGCCCTTGCATTTTGGCATGTCATCTTTACAGCAATGCCAGAATCCTCTTTCTATGTTACAGGTCTTACATTCCTTAGATTAAAACCTTCAGTGGTTTCCATTTATTGTATAGAGAAAGAGTAATCCTAATCTTGCCAACAAGGCCTTACGTATACTCCCCTTTGCTAATCTCACGTCCTTGTACCTCTTGGCTCTCTAGCCACTGGCTCCTCTCCACTCCAGAGCATCATGATCTCCCTACCTCCAGGCCTCAGCTTAGAAATTTTCCCTGTTGGGCAAGCCTCCCCTCCCCGCCCCCGTATTTGGCTAGTTGGCTCCTATCCATCCCTCTTCTCAAAACAGCTTTATCAGAAGCATTTCCAGATTCCCTACCTGTTCTTTTGGGCTGTTTCCTCTGTAGCACTTACAACTGATTATCATTTATGTAACTGTTTAATTGTTGACTGTCTCTTATCTGTAAGCTCCATAAGGTAGGGAGTCTCGGATCCTGCTCATTTCTTGAACACCAGCCCCTAGTGCAGGCCTGACACACAGTAGCCCTTTGATAAATCTTGAGTGGATGGGCGAATATAACTGTTAGAAGGTGGCATGTGCTAAGTACAGCACAACATTGAGGGGGGTGGAGGATGAGCCCAGGTAAGGGTCCCAGCATCGCAGCCAAGCTGGGAAGGCAGAGTCCCTTACGTAAAATTTAGGAATTCAGTGGATTGGGTAGAGGAAACAACATGAGCAAAGACTTCGAGAGGACCTTGTAGGCGGTGCAATTGGTTCCAAGTGGGATACGGTTGGACTCCAGTAGATGAACCCTGGCATCCCGAGGCAGGTGGTTAGAGGAATCACAGCTGGCAGTATGTGAGGGAGAAGCGGAAAGGAGGCAGCCTATTCCTGGCATTGGCAGTAGCCCCCAAGGAGGCCCTAGAGGTAATGTGTGTTGACTGCATGGAATTCAGTAGCTATGCCATCATACCTTTGAAGAGCTGCTGTCTTCCCACCTTTTGCATACAGCATCTGTCTGGAATATTCCAGGGTGGGAGGGTTGAGAATGTTGTGGTTTTACCCAGCTTTTACTGATATATTTTTCAGCCCCCAGAGTGTGAAAGGCCGGAATGACACGTTTTATCTGACGCCTGAGCCAGTGGTGGCCCCCAATAGCCCAATCTGGTACTCGGTCCAGCCTATCAGCAGAGAGCAAATGGGACAGATGCTGACTCGGATCCTGGTGATACGAGAAATTCAGGAGGCCATTGCAGTGGCCAACGCAAGCACCATGCATTGAGATCCCTAAGCCATGGTGCAAGGGAGATGATCCAGGAAAAAAAAAATGGACAGACTTTCACACTAAAGAAGAGGCCTCCATTTTTTTTCTTTTCTTTTTTTTTTTAAATTGGTGTAGTTATGAAGCCTTTCAGACTGCTTCTGTTTAAAATGTAAAAGGAAACTTTGCCTCCTGTGCGTCACTGTAAATCTGCTGCAGCAGATTCCTCAGCCCATGGGGGCTCTGGGTTTCCTGAAAGCCAGATGTCCTAGAAAGTTGCTGGCTGGCTTTTTCTTTTTTGCCTGGGGCCTGGGGAAAGGGCGCGGACTGTTAGGAGAAATGTGGCCCCTTCCCTTACTCCAGAAAGATGGAATTAGTGACGGACCCTCCAGGGAATCTCCCCAGCTGGCTTCCACTCTGACTGGCAGACGTCGCTGACCACAGGGGAGCCATGGTCTTTTCTTTCTTCATGCTCAGACATAAACTTAGCATCTTAATGGAAGGACAATGAGGGGAACTTCAATTATGATTTATTAAAGACAATTTCTATTACACCCTCCTTTATGACAAGTGACATTTTAGATGTTAAAGTAAAAACTTTACCATGCCTTTTTTTTTTTTTTTTTTGGCCTAACATTGAGGCCTTAAACCTGAGGCTCCTGTGCCTGATGGAATTCTTGTAACATACACTTGTGTATCATATAAAGATACCACTCTGTTTCTCTTATGTATTCTTAATCTAGTTGTTTATTAAGAATGACAAGCACGTCTTTTCAACATGCTAGTGAACATCGCCTCTTTATTTGGGAGGAGCCTAGCGGGCCATCGGAAGCAAAGCCTTGCCTGCTGGTTGAACGGGTCACGGTCCTGTGGGAGGGGGCAGCCTCGGGAAAGCCCAACTTTGTGGCTGCACGCCTAGGGCGTGCTCCGCGCATGCGCTCCCTCGATAGCCCCGCCCGGGAGGCGCACCGTCTCCGCCTGTTCGTGCTGCGTCCTGACGTCAGTGACGCGCAGGGCGCAATGACGATATCGGCCGGTTTATATTGGCGCGGCCCAGACGGCTGAGGCCTCTGCGGCGCGGTCTTCGGGCACACGCGGCTTTGCCTAGCGGTGGCCATGGCCGACTACCTGATTAGCGGGGGCACGTCCTACGTGCCAGACGACGGGCTCACGGCACAGCAGCTGTTCAACTGCGGGGACGGCCTCACCTACAAGTGCGGGCCTAGCGGGCTTACCTGGGCGAGGAGAGGGGCGGCGCGCTGGACTGGGAGGCCGGGCGGGGTTTTCCACGGAGCCCGCTTGGACCGAGGCATGGGAGACAGGTTCCGGAGAATCCCCCACCCATCTGTGGGGCTCCGTTTGATAGATCTGAAGTGGGGCGGGATGGAGGAGGCATCTTGGCGGTGCTTGAGATATCAGGCTAGAAGCTCCATTCTCTCGGCACATGGAGTTGTCAGGGTGCCAGGGTCGCTGATGACAGCTAGGTGGCAGAAAAGGTCCCGTCTCCATCTCCACCTTGTGATTTGTCTGCCCTGCCTGTGACACGGGCTAGGTCAGTGCCCCCTAAGGCCCAAATGCCTTATGACATGATCTGTGGGGATGGAATCTCGGGCCGCCCTAAGCCTGAGCCTTACTCCCAATTCGCTCCCCTCCCCCATAGTGACTTTCTCATTCTCCCTGGGTACATCGACTTCACTGCAGACCAGGTGGTGAGTATGGCCAGAAATTGGGTCCTGAGCATCAAGGTTGGGTAAGGTACTTCTCTTCCCTGGTCTCAGCTACCACAGCAGATTGGGCTTGGGGGTGGATTCTATGGAAGTCTGACTGGCATGCAGGTCATACAGGGCACCTGTTTTATGGGGGACCTGGCACCACCCTGAGGCTTTTAGAGGTACTTGCCACATTATCGGGCCATATTTCCTCAGGACCTGACTTCTGCTCTGACCAAAAAGATCACTCTGAAGACCCCACTGGTTTCCTCACCCATGGACACAGTCACAGAGGCTGGCATGGCCATAGCAATGGCGGTGAGCATCATGGGGTGTAATAAGGACAAAAGGAGGGGCCTCACTCACACTCTTCCCCAAAGACACACATAGTCGTGCTGCTCTTTGTCACTTTTTCACGATCTTCTGTTTATCATGCAGCTTACAGGTGGTATTGGCTTCATCCACCACAACTGTACACCTGAGTTCCAAGCCAACGAAGTTCGGAAAGTGAAGGTCAGAAGGGCAAGGATCGTGGTCAAGAGCTCCTGGGAATTGCACTGAGGTGGAGTGGGGTGGAAGTGGGGGATTTGTTCTCCTAATTTAGGATCCTTTTTTCCCCACTTTGGGGTTCAGTTCCTGAAAAGAGCATGAGACCCTGTGTCCTAAGGCAAGAGAAGACGACCAGGTGGATAGTACCTACAGCCCACCCATGTTTACTATCCCTGGGTTTGAATTGTGATTTGGTCCTATGGTACGGCCAGAGGGGGAGTTGGCACAGACCCCAGGTTTCAGACTGGTAAAGATGGTTCAGAAATGTTATTTCTCACCATCCCTTCCAGAAATATGAGCAGGGATTCATTACGGACCCTGTGGTCCTCAGCCCCAAGGATCGAGTGCGGGATGTGTTTGAAGCCAAAGCCCGGCATGGATTCTGTGGTATCCCAATCACCGACACAGGCCGGATGGGGAGCCGCTTGGTGGGCATCATTTCTTCAAGGGACATAGATTTTCTCAAGGAGGAGGAACACGACCGGTTTTTGGAAGAGGTGGGTGCTACTGACAAAGCAAAGCCAAGCTCTGGCGGCCAAAGCTTAAGACGGGGTTTCTGTTGCCTGAATGGCATCTCTGGGGGCTTCTGCTGTCCAGGAAAGATGAATGCCCAGCCAGGTCTCTGACCCCTTCATGGGGTTCCTGCATCTCTTCCCCACCAGATGCTCTCATTCTGCCCAAGTGTTTGCCAGCATGCGTGCTGTGTTGCCACTCCCAAGGTGGGGGCAGTGCTCAGGGACCAACCGCAGCCTCCTCTTCCAACTCCCTTGTCGTTGCTCTGGCGGGGCCCTTCTTTCTCTGCTATGTAACAGCATATTCTGTGTACCACATTGTTCTTTCTACTCAATTCTCACCTGTGCCACTGTATTGCTGCATTGGCTGTTGGGTTCACTTGAGGAGTGGTTTGGGTGCCAGGTGTGTGATCAGGGTGGTCTGTGGAACCTCACCCCCGAGTTAGGTCAGGGTGTGTTGGAGGTCTGGTCTCTGGGCCCTTCTCACAGCTCCCCTCACTGCTAGATCATGACGAAGAGGGAAGACTTGGTGGTAGCCCCTGCAGGCATCACACTGAAGGAAGCAAATGAAATTCTGCAGCGCAGCAAGAAGGGTGAGTTCTAGAGGTGGAAGGGTTCTGGAACCAAAGACCAGGCTTCTGATTTATGTACCTTCCCTACCCCCAGGAAAGTTACCCATTGTAAATGAAGATGGTGAGCTGGTAGCCATCATTGCCCGGACAGACCTGAAGAAGAACCGGGATTACCCACTGGCCTCCAAAGATGCCAAGAAGCAGCTGCTGTGTGGAGCAGCCATTGGCACTCATGAAGATGACAAGTATCGGCTGGATTTGCTAGCGCAGGCTGGAGTGGACGTAGTGGTTCTGGTGAGCTCTTGCACAGACAGGGTGGAGTGGTAGGGACAGCTGTCATACCAGTCTCACTGGGACTTTCTCCCGGTCCCAGGACTCTTCCCAAGGAAACTCCATCTTCCAGATCAATATGATCAAGTACATCAAGGAGAAATACCCCTCCCTCCAAGTTATTGGAGGCAATGGTGAGGCAAGACTGGGCACCAAAGGACGTGGGGCAAGAGGTAGAGGAGCTAGGTTCCCACTCAGATTGTCACCCAAGCCCTTCCCTGTTCTTCATTGCAGTGGTCACAGCTGCTCAGGCCAAGAACCTCATTGATGCTGGTGTAGATGCCCTGCGGGTGGGCATGGGCAGTGGCTCCATCTGCATCACCCAGGAAGGTAGGAAATGCTTCAGTGGGGCCCTCAGAGACTCTGGCTTCAGCAGGGCCCTTAGCCCCATATGGCCTGGAGCCAAATGCTCTTGTGGGAACTATACTGAGTCCTCCAATAGGGGCAGTCCCAGGGCCAAAGAGGCCCCTTGGATGGGTGACATGCTGGAAGACGAGCTCGTCATTCCTCACCTGCCACTACCCCCCTGCCTAGCCTGGCCTCCTTGCTCCTGCTCTGCACCCTCTCTAAACTCTGGTCTGTTTGTTTTATTTAGTGGCTCCCAAGATCCCTCCAGACATAAAGTCCCACAGCCCCAAATGCCCTTCTACTGTCAAGGGCTGCTATAGTAAGTCCAGCCCGGCCCACTGGCCCGGCCCGGCTACCCACTGCCCGGCTGCTTGGTTGACTGTAGCTGTAGCTCCCGGGGTTTGTGGTGTTGATGGGTGGGCAGGGCACAGTGAATGACAGACCATGGTTTTAGGGGCTGCTGGAGAACACAGCTCCTTCCTCTTCCTGGGGTGCTTGTAGGGCAGGACCTCCGTCACATTTCCTACAGTAGGCACAGCTCAAGGACCAAACAAGCGCACTCTTCCTTCCACATGACCACTCCCCTGATCTTGCCCAAGCTGCGAACCATGCTGGGAGGAAGGGGTGGGCCTCTGGGTACTAACTGCACGGTGACACCTACCCCCACTTGATACCAGGTGGGTGGGGTTCCCCCCCCCCAGCCCCCGCCAGCTGCTGACTGCATGTGCCTGAGGCTGCCCTGGGCCGAGCACACATGCACGCGCACATGCAGGGTTGAGTGGAGGCCATCACTGCTGTTTGAACTGTTGAAGGCAGACAGGGCAGCAGCCCTTCCAGACATGACTCTTTCTCAGCCATGCTGCAGTCCTGGTGCAGGTGTAGCGGAGAACTCCTGGGTGCTGAGTTATGGCTGCAGGGCCCCTCGCCTGTCCCCATGGATTCCACCCACCCATCTGTTCCTCCATTTCTTAATAGTGTTGGCCTGCGGGCGGCCACAAGCAACAGCAGTGTACAAGGTGTCAGAATATGCACGGCGCTTTGGTGTTCCTGTTATTGCTGATGGAGGAATCCAAAATGTGGGCCATATCGCCAAAGCCTTGGCCCTTGGGGCCTCCACAGGTGAGGCCCAACACCCAGGGAGTCTGGTGGGATTCCTTCCCCAGTGCCACTCAGGGTCTGCTCCCGTCACTCCCATTTGTCCACAGTCATGATGGGTTCCCTCCTGGCTGCTACCACTGAGGCCCCTGGCGAGTACTTCTTCTCCGATGGGATCCGGCTAAAGAAATACCGTGGTATGGGTTCTCTTGATGCCATGGACAAGCATCTCAGCAGCCAGAACCGATATTTCAGGTGGGACAGGAAGGTCAATTACCCTATACTGACAGCCTTGTACTGATAGCCTCATCCATGCTTTGACCTTGCCTATGTTGTCTTGCCTTTCCCTACAGTGAAGCTGATAAAATCAAGGTGGCCCAAGGGGTGTCTGGGGCTGTGCAGGACAAAGGGTCCATCCACAAATTTGTCCCCTACCTGATCGCTGGCATCCAGCATTCCTGCCAGGACATTGGTGCCAAGAGTTTGACCCAAGTCCGGTAAGCCAGGGGAGCTGGGACATGGGTGGAGGAGCTAGTTGAGGGCCAGGTACCCACATCTGACATTTGCCCCTCTTCAGAGCCATGATGTATTCTGGAGAACTCAAGTTTGAGAAGAGAACATCCTCTGCTCAGGTGGAAGGGGGTGTGCACAGCCTCCATTCGTAAGTGACCAACCCTTTTGTACCCATCTACCCTTGGGGCAGAGGTTCCTCCTTTCTGCTGCCCCCACCTCAAAGCTGGTCGTTCTGCCTACAGGTATGAGAAGAGGCTTTTCTGAAAAGGGATACCACACACCCCTTCAGTTTTTCAATAAAAGTTTGGAGAAAAAAAAAGTGATGCTTGATCTTTGAGGTTAACAGGCAGGTGTGGCGACCACTATCACGGACGCACACAAGCACAACACTCATTTGTAGGGAAAGCCTCAGACCCTGAGATCTGGATATTCCTTGGATCTGGAAGGAGGTACTAATTCTAAATTCAAAAAAGTCCCTCCTGAGCGCCTGGGTGGCTCAGTTGGTTGATTGACTGCCTTCGGCTCAGGTCATGATCCTGGAGTCCCGGGATTGAGTCCCGCATCGGGCTCCCTGCTCGGCAGAGAGTCTGTTTCTCCCTCTGACCCTCCCCCCTCTCATGTGCTCTCTGTCTCTCAAATAAATAAAATCTTTAAAAAAAAAAAAAAAGTCCCTCCTGAGGCAGCTTACAAGGTAGGTCAGGCCAGCTCTGGCTCACAAGGGTTCAGTCTCACATTGTGGCTGCTTAGGACAGGTCATGGAATAGTCCTCGGGGGCTTTGGACTGGCACCCACAGGGCCTCCTGCTTGGGCACATGGGACCAGGTTGAGAGCCACATACATAATCTCTAACTTGAATCTCCAAGGGACCTTGAGAAAGACAGTCCCCGCTCAAATCTGCATGTGAGCAAGTACAAAGATTTGCATTTTGGGACAGGTGCCTATACCACCTCCAGCCTCTGAGAAGCTATGTAGTCTAAATAAAAAGGGGATCCTCTTGGGCACCTGGGTGGCTCAGTTGGTTGAGCGACTGCCTTCGGCTCAGGTCATGATCCTGGAGTCCCGGGATCGAGTCCCGCATCGGGCTCCCTGCTCAGCAGGGAGTCTGCTTCTCCCTCTGACCCTCTTCCCTCTCGTGCTCTCTATCTCTCATTCTCTCTCTCTCAAATAAATAAAATCTTAAAAAAAAAAAAAAAGGGATCCTCTGGTTTCACACAACCCCCCCCCCACAAGAGCCCACTGAGCCAGCAGCTCTTCCTTGCTAGCAACACAACTAGTACAAAATGGGAAAGGTGGATTAAATTATTAATTTGCTGGCAACAAAGGCAAGTATTACAGTGCCAAAGGGGAAGAGCTAATGAAAGCGCTGGAAACCCCTGCACTCTGCAAAAAGTGCCAGGGTCTTCCTGGACAGGTTAGGTCAGTTCCTGGTGGTTCGTTCTGCAGCTTGTGAGCACAGTCCCTCCGGGTGGAGGGATAAGAGCAGCTCCTGTTACTCGGCCTTCATGACACAGGAAGTTGAAAGTGGCACAGGCATTGGGCTGCAAAGAGAAAGCCTGCATCAGCGTGGCGAGGGCTAGGCCTGGGCCCTGCTCAGCGCTCCCGAGGCGCAGGGCTTACCGTGTCCTGCACTTCCACGGCGATGCCCCGCTGCCGCAGGGCTTGCAGCACCTGGGGCTGCAGCCGTTCAGTCCGGTCTCCGGTGCCCACCACAACAATCTCTAGGGAAAGATGGCCAGGGCTAGCCTGCAGCAGGCAGGTCTGTGGGGAGGCTGGGGCGGGGTGGCTTTTGGCTTTCTAGGCCTGGAAGCACCGCAGCCCTCCCCTTCTCCAGTACCTATCTGCGGCTCCAACAACCAGAAGAGGGAGAAGCTTTCTTCGGTGATGTCCCGGTGAGTTCCTACCTGTGTTGGGAGGAGGCAGGTTAAACAATTTCGCGCAGTTTTCCCCACAGCGCCCTTACCTGCACCACTAACGGGCAACGGAAAAGCCCAAGTTGGCCAGGAACAGAATCAGGGGGCAGGCCTGGGACTCTGGCCCTCCGCTGCCTCAGTGCTCACGTTCCACTGCACCACGGAGTGCGGGAGCAGCGCGCAGGGCCCAAGCACACGATTTCCGTTGACCGTGAAGCCGCGGCTGCTGTAGCTGTCGATATACATGGACTGCGGGGAGTCGCGCTGCAGCAGGGAGATGCGCGTCCGCTGATACAGCTCGTCGTCCGCCGGCGTGAGCCGATGCCCTCGCCGTGGGGCCCTGCGGAGGGGTGTGCTCAGGGTCTAGAGGGTCAGGAGGAGCAGGGCGGGAGAATCAGGGACGCTGGGCCCGGGCTCACCTCAGCAGCTCGGCAGGGGAACAGCGTAGCACTGCCCGCGCTCGGCACAGGCCGCGAAGCACGAACGTGGCGACCATGTCGGACCGGTGAGCAGGGAGGCCGGTGCTGGGTCAGCGGGGTCGTGGCGGAGCCCACCGCAGCGCGCCGACAGCGCCCCCTGCGTCCCGGAGGGCATGGCGCAGGTCGGCCGCCCCAGCGCGGGATTTTGAGGGAGCCGGCCGATGCCCATTGTCCCAGGAGGACCCGTCCCCCAGCGCGGCTCCGGTGTCTGCACCTGCCACCCGCCCCGCCCCGGGCCCCCGCAGACCGTCCTGGGGGAGCCAGACACCTGGTGGCGTGGCTGGCCTCAGAGCGCTGCCTGGGCCCCCGCCGCAGCCGAGTCCCCGGCTCTCAGCCATTACGTAGGGCTCCCGGGGCAGGGCGGCCGCGCACCTGGTCGAGTCCCGCACACCTGGCCAGGGCGTGGGGCCAGCCTCCAAGACCCTAATCCCAGGCTTTGGGGCGTCGGGTTCCCAGGGCGGGGCGGCCGGCTCAGGTTTCCCTCGCTCTCCCGCGAATCACGCCCCTCCCCCAACCGTCACCCGCGCGACCGTTGGCGTCGCCGCCGCGCGTCTCCCGGGGCGTGGCTGCGCGTGGATTGGCTTCTCGGGAGCGCGAGGGGGCGTGGCTGATTGGTTTCTCCTTAAAATGGCTCCGAGTCTGCGGCCCGAGCAAGCGGAAGGGGACGCCGTGGTGGGGCGATTGTAGCTGTTCGGGTGGGATCGACCGGGCCGAACGGGACCAGATATTGAACTAGACAGCGGCTGGAGCATCGCCCTGTCGTCGCTCACTCTGCTCGCGGCCCGAGAATTCCCCGACCCCCCGTCTTGAGCCGAATCAGAGGGCCTACTGGCGCGAGAGTCGCCGGCGCCCGCGCGGGTTTCGGGCATCTCCGCGTCCCCACGGTGTCGTGGCCTCAAGGGAACGTTGACGCGTCTGCTACCCACGGGGCCGGGCGGGAGGGAGGTTCGGCACAGCGGGGGACGTTCGCAATGGATTCCCGGGGGTCCCGTCGCCGCCATTGGGCCCTCCCCCCCACCCCCACAGCGCTCCGGGCGCGGGCAGAGTCACGGGACAAAGGGCCCCGGGTGCGGGGGTGTCCCCGAGGCGGGTGCGCGGGTTTACTTCCTCTCCGTCCCGACGGGCGAGCTCCTCTTTTGGCCGATCCCGAAGCCCGCCCCGCCACCGTCACCGCACCGGTGGCCTGGTTTCATGGTACCAACAGGAGTAATCCTACCCTGCGGATCTAATCCGGATCGGGACCGGTCCTAAGGGAGGCCCCTACCAATCTTCCTACTGTTTTGGGGCCCAGGTGAGCGCCTCGTTCCCACTACACTCGGCTTTATCGCCCACTTCTAGGTCCGTCTTCTGGTACTGGGAATGGGGGGGTCCTGATCTGGCCCCAGGGCAAGGGACCACCACCCTCCCGGGGTTAGTCCCCCCCTCCCCCGCCCACGGCTGGACAGCGGGCAACGGAATCCCAAAAGCAGCTGTTGTCTCCAGAGCATTCCAGCTGCGCTTGGATTTCGTTCCCTGCTCTCCTGCCAGAGCAGCGTCCTGGCCTAGATGGGGTGGGCCAACCCCTGACCCCAGACATACTTTATTTGGGTCGCTCTAGTCTCCGCCCCTGCCTCAGGTGCGCCCTCAGGCTGGAGATGGTGGTCGGAGAGCCAGGGTTGTGGTCATCTCTTGAACCTGGAGTAGCACTGACAAGGGAGGTTGGTCCTAGGGCCTTTGGACAGGACTGCAATGGCGGTGAGTCCCACAGGGCGGGGCCACACCAGCCCGCAGCTCGCTATAGATAGCCTTTCACTTCCTGGGGAAAACCCACCCCAACCGTCTTCGTGTACCGAGAGTAGCTGAAGTCCCCGGCTTGGCCTCCAGCCTCCAGCCTGTTAGCAGCTGTCCCTGGGTCATGCGACTGCGGAATGGAAAGCGCTTTGGAATGACACGATCACTCCCGTTGAGTGGGCACCCAAGAAGCCATCGGGAATGTCGTGTCCGCCCAGTGCTCTTTCGGCGATCCCAGCAGGGCCCCTGCAGCCCTGGCCCAAAAAGGGGTCTTGCCAAACTTTCTGCCCCTAGGATCCCCTCCTTTCTGAACTCTGGGCACTCTCACTGCTCTGGAGCAGTAATTATGGGTTTCCTGCACTCTGTGCTGTGTGGGGTTCAATCTCCATTAAAGAAAATAGAGAAAAAGGGGATTTAACTTACACTGAAATGAAAACATTCCGGAGTCCTCGTGGGACAGAGGAAAGAGCTCTCTGTAGTGGAGTGGGATGCTCCCAACTGACAGCAGTCCTTTAGCTGGGTCTTCTCATGGTCACATTATTTTGCCTACAATGGCTCGTTGCCTAAACCAGAAGGCCAGAGTATCCCTGATAATGTACACAAGGTTAAAAGCATTAAAAACTGGTAATTCTGGAAAGTATCGTGATGGTTCTAATTCCTCAAAAATCAAGAGAAGAAATTCTACCAGAGTACACATTTATCGGGAGTAAAGACGACCCAAATAGCAAAGGAGGAAAGGGCTGTAAATAACCTGAAGCCGCAGAACACAGATTCTTTCAAAAATGAGATTTTTTTTTTTTTTTAGGAAGTCCTGAAAATGGTTAGCTGCCCTATTCCGCTGACAATTCATTTGGAACTTTTGACGTTTGATCAAGTGTCAAATGGGGGGAATGAAACGTTATCACAAATAGGTAAGATTTCGATGAGAGAAACTGTCGGGTCTGGGCCCCACCCGGTAGCGAGGATCCTTTCCCTGGTTGCTAATGCCGGTGACGACGACGGAACTCTAGGCCGAAGGCGGACCTCGCGATGCCGGGGCCGGGCAGGGCAGGCGGTCCACGCGGAGGGAGTGCTGGGAGCGAAGGTCGAGAGCGGCCGCCACGGTTCCCTCCGGCGCACCTGTCGGCTCAGGGACCGCCACCGGATACGCGCCCCGGCCAGTTGGCTCTCCCGGAAGCTCGACCTCCTGACGTTTTGCTTCCGGTTCCGCTGGCTCCTTCCGGTCGCCATGGCGACGGGGCGCCTCGGGGTCAGGGAGACGCTAGGGGCCCTCAACACGGCCCTGGGGCCTGGCGAACCCGTGTGGTTCAAGGAGACGCGCGCCCGCCACCTGCGCGCCCGAGACTTCCTGGCGCCGCGGCCCGCGCTGCAGGCGCGCTTCGGGGACGAACAGGTGGGCGCCAGCCGGGCGGGGATGTGCGGCCAGGGGCAGCGCCGCAGCCCGCTGACCGCCCTTCCTCCCGTAGGTGCCCGAGCGTGTGGTCCGTGCGGTCGCCGGCCTGCAAGGCCCCGGCGTGGCCCCGGTGCTGCGCTGCGCGCCGACGCCCGCGGGTCTGGCACTCCAGCTGCAGCGGCCCGCCGTCTTCGAGCGCGTGCTCGGCGCCGTGGCCGCCTATGCCGCGCCCGCCGCGCCCGCCGCGCCCGGTCCGCGCGTCCTCCTGCACTGCCCGGCGCTGCGCGGCGCTCCTGGCGCGCTCCGCTTGAGCCAGCTGCGCGCCGTGCTCGTGGCCGATCATTTGGCGCGAGCTCTGCGCGCTCATGGGTGAGCGCGCCGCGGGGCCAGAAAGGCCGGGCTGGCGAGCTGGGCCTAGAGCCGCTGCGGGTGGGAAGGAGGGGAAGCTGCGGCGGGTGCTCGGGCTGAGACGGCCGCCCTCGCTTCCCAGGGCGAGTGTGCGGCTGGTGCCCGCCGTACGGGACCCGCACATGCCGACCTTCCTGCAGCAACTGCGCGTGGACTGGCCCGCTGCCTCCGAGAGAGCCGCCACCGAAGCCCTGAGGAGCCTCGCGCTTGCAGAGCTTAGCCCTGCCCGGGACGGGGGAGCCCTGCCCCCTGGCGTCCTGGGCACTGTCTGCCTGAAGGAGGTGATGCAAGAACGGGGACGCGCAGCCGGCTATGACCCCAACCTGGACAAGTGTCTGGGTAGGAGCTGGAGCCCCGCAGGGCCGGAGAGAAGGTGGGAACCCTGCGCTCCTGGCTGGCCTCAACGCCCCTGTGTTCTCTGCAGTGACTGAGGATCTGCTGTGCGTGCTGGCCGAGCTGCAAGAGGCTGTCCGCCACGGGCCTGGGGACGGCCTTCCAGGCCTGGTTAGTGACAGGCCCCCCCACCCCGTAGGCCTCTGGCAAGCCGAGTGTCCTGTGTCCGCCCAGTGACCGTCCTCCTACCCTTTAGGCAGCGACCCCAGATGCTGATGCAGGCGGCTGCATGGTTGTACACGTGGTGAGCTGTGAGGAGGAGTTCCAGCAACAAAAGTTGGACTTGCTCTGGTGGAAGCTGGATGCGCAGGCTCCGCTCACACAGGTAGGCTGGTGATGGCGGAACGCCCCCTCCCCCCCACCAACCTGAGGGCCCCTGAAAACTCATGTTAGCTGATGAGTCCATAGGTGACACTTGACCTTGAGGGAGAGGTTAGGCTTGGTGAATGGGCGCTTGCAGCAGGGGCAGCGTCCTGAGAGAGGGTGGGGTCTGGAGGCACAGCCCAAGGAACACCGAAGAATGATAGCTTGGGGAAGTTGGACTGTGCGCTGAGGGGTGGGCTTGAGAGGGAGGCACAAAGCCTGGTGGCAAAAGGCTGGAGGAGTCCAGGCACCAGGTTTAGGTCCTTCCAGGGATTTATCGCTGGACCTACCGCCAGCTGGGCTAAACGCCTGCTCTCTTCCTGACAGAGGCACCTGGTCTGCGGCCCAGTGAAAGCAGCTGGTGCACCCGGCGCCCTGACTGCCCCCGAGTACTACGAGTGAGTGAGGCTGGAAGGGAGGCCACGGAGCCAGGGTAGTTGAGGGGGGGTAGGTCTCACCGCCAACCCCACCCCCACCCCCGCTGCAGGCCCTCGGCTCACCCTTCTCCACACGCAGGCTCCGGCACGCCCAGGTGTGCAAGGCGTCGGCCCTGAAGCACGGCAGGGAGCTAGCCCGAGGTGCGCCTGGGGAGCCGGGATGCGCTCCGCGGGAGGGGCGGCTCACCCGCTTCCCTGCCTGCCCAGACTGACCCGCTCAACCCCCACAGACCCGGCCTGGACAGAGGTGTTCAGCGTCCTCTCCGTGGCGACCATCAAGTTTGAGATGCTCAGCACAGCTCCGCAGAGTCAGGTGAGCCCGGGGGGCCCACGGGATCAGGGCTTGGGGAACAGGCTGGGTCGCAGCTGCAACTGTGCATCCCCCCTGACCCCCCAGCTCCTCCTGGCCCTCACCGATGGCAGCGTTTCCACAAAGGGCACCAAGAGTGGCACCTTTGTCATGTATAACTGTGCCCGTCTTGCCACACTATTTGAGGGGTACCAGCACAGCGTGGAACAAGGTCTGTACCCCACTTTTCCACCTGTGAGCAGTCTCGATTTCTCACTGCTGCAGGATGAGGTGAGTGTCCTCCTGGGGAGCCGGGCACCTGCAGGAGGTTGGGACCTCCCCTCCCAGCGCCCTTCACCTACCCACTCCCCCGCCCCGCCCCTGCAGGGTGAGTGGCTGCTGCTCTTCAATGGCGTGCTCCCCTTCCCAGACCTGCTGAGCCAGACCGCAGCCCTGGCGTGCGCGGCCCCGGGGCTCCACGCGACTGCGCGCACCGAGACGGTGAGGCAGAGAAGGCCCGGACAGACACTGCACGCTTGGTGCTTTATTCTGGGCTGGGCATGAGATCAAAGAGACCAGCCAGTGACTCAGTTTCTGTCTCTAGATGTGCAAGTTCCTGGTTCAGCTCAGCATGGATTTCAGCTCATACTATAACCGTGTACACATTCTAGGGGTAAGTACACAGCAAAGGGGGTGGGGGGCTTGCAGGGGTGCAAGGGAAGCAGAGGAAGAGACCAGCAGGCCCCTTCTCTCCTCCAGGAGCCTCGACCACACCTATTTGGTCAAATGTTTGCCCGTCTCCAGCTTCTGCGGGCTGTGCGTGAAGTGCTCCACGCTGGCCTAGCCACGCTGGGTCTCCCTCCACTGAACCACATTTAAGGCCACAGAGACCCCGACATCTAGGAATGTTTACAAAGTCTTTACCTGGAAAAAAGATACAAAGAAAGATTCTATTAGAGACCCGGAACCAAAATAAACTGCTTCTGTTACATACAAAGCCTGGTCCTGTTGGTAGATAGCGGGGCGTAGCCTGGGTCGGCCCAAACAGCACCCTCCTCACCTCCTGCTCCTGCTCTGCAGTCAGGAGCCCGCGGCTGCCGCCTCCTCCTCAAGGCACACTGGGCATGGGCACAGACGGCCGCTGCTGTTCCACCCTGTCTGCGAGCAGGTCCCATGCCCAGCACGCCGGCCACCGCGGGACACCTTAATCATACCAGTTGTAAACCTCAAGCCCCTGGCCCCCAAGAGCACAGCGGTGGCCAAACTCAGGGCTTACAGGCCAGCAGTCCATGTCAGCCACGTCTGGGACATGGTACACGGTACTGTTCATGAAGGTGGGCTCACCATGCCCCAGACGCCAGAAGGTCAGCCGTTGGTCGATGGAGGCTGAGACCATGAGGCTTGGGCTTAGGATCTTGAGGCCTGTCACATGGGCAGCATGTGCACAGGGGACGGAGTATTCCTCTAGCACATGCAACTGGGGCACCAACTCAGCACCCCCCATGGCCTCTTCCAGCTCCGGTGCCTCCACAGCCAGCACAAAGACATGGAGGGAACCATCCTCACTGCCACTGGCCACGAGATGGCCCTCACGTGTGGGCAAGGTATGCAGGCTGTTGACACCACAGCTGTGAGCCTGGAGGGTCAGGCAGGGGGTGCCCAGCCCTGGAGGAAGAAGATGGTTGTCAGGGCCCAGCCTACCACCTGGGTGAAGGCGAAGTGCGAGGTGGGGAGGGACAGCCCCGGCTGCACACTAGCTACTCACGGTAGGGAAGCCCAGGGTCTGCTGGAGGCTCCAGGGCAGTGGAGCCATGGTCCAGCACGGTAGTGAGATCCCAGAAGGCCAAGCTGCCATCTGTGGCTGCACTGCACAGGAACAGCCTCCTGGGAGCCAGTAAAGGGCAGCTGGGTCAATGAGGGAGATGGGAAGCAACAGGAGCCCCCACCCGGCCCACGCGGGGCCCCCAGGCGGCCCCTCTCACCGCCGCTGGTTGGGTGCCTCATGGGTAAAGGAATGGACCTTGAGGACACACCGCTTGTGGTGGAAGTTTTCAGCCAGGAGCTGCAACTGCCGCCCCGAGTCCTGCAAAAGGAAGAGCCTGGGGGGCGGGGGCGGGGTAGGGCCCAGCTCAGAACCCATTCTGGACAAACTTCCAGCCCTGGTCTCCGGGCCCAAGGTGCTCCGCTCTCACCTCACTGCTCCATCACTGCAGGCTGCAGCCACTAGGGGGCCAAGGCCAGGCCGGTCGAGCTCACACACAGCCAGGGACATGTACCTGCAGACACAACACCGGCCAGCAGTCAGGGGAAGCATGGAAACAGCGGCAAGGGGCCAGCCCATGCTCCCGCCTCGCGGTATACACATCACCTGGTCTCTGGGTCCACCTTGACCATCCGGTGCCGATTGCGCTGCCGGTCCCAGTACTCATCTAGCCGGTGGGACGAAAGATGCATGACATGGCAAGCGAGGCGGCTTGGGGTGCTGGGGTCCGGGGTGACCATGATGCTGAAGCAGTGCATTTCAGCCCGGCCCCCCGCAGACACCACATGAGCGGTCAGGCCTGGCCGAGGATCCTGAGGGCCACCTGGGGTACCGATGCCCCACACGGCCAGGGCGCGCACAGAGGAGATATGATTACACACCGCTGTAAGTGCGTGGGCCGAGCCGGTGACGGTGGGGAGTGCCAGGACACAGACAGTAGTGTCCTCGCTGCACGTGATCACGATGTCGGTCAGGCCCGGCCCCTCGCTGCCAGGCTCCACGTGGTCGGGCTGCATAAAGCTGGGCACCTCAAATTCAGGCCCCAGAGTGATGGTGCCCACACGCTTCACACAAGTGATCTCACGGCCATGCAGGCTCTCGCGGAGAATCACATGTGGCCGGGTGCAGCCACCCAGAGCCCGGTAGAGCATGACGTCCCCGTCCTTGAGGTAGGCAAAAGCCATAGCCGCCTCAGTATCAGAGAAGGCCCAGGAGCGGTGCCCTCCACCGCAGTTGACGATGTGCAGCTTTTCATGTGACCGGGGACTCCACACTACAAACTCGTTGGCATGGAAACCCAGGATGACCATACTCCCATCAGCCACCATGCGGAGCCCAGCCACCCAGTTCATGCCTCGACAGGACTTCTGCCTGAGGACCGGCTGCAGTTGGCCGCCTCGCACAAAGAGCTGATAGTAGGCGCCATCGCGCCCCGTGGTATACACGTAGCCACCGTGGCAGGTGACGGACGTCACACCCTGCTTCCCATGCAGAGAAGGGAGGGTGGACACAGGGCCCCACTCAGTAGAAGCAGTCTCACCCCCCTCACTGCCACTACCTGCTCCAAGAGCTCCAGCGATAGCCCCGGCCTTGCCCCCAACCCCAAGGTCCTTGAGCAGAGCTGGTCTGGAGGGAAACAGCAACACAGAGCCCCGGCGGTCCCCACACACCAGGAAGTCACCAGGGGGTAAGAAGGCACTGCATGTGTGCCATCTCTGCTTGCTGGGAGGCAGCAGGTACCGGCAACGTTCCTTTACAAAGATGGCCTTACCAGAGGGTGCAGCTGAGATTTCCAGGCAAGCCACCACACCGCCAGGGCCTGATGCCAGCAACAGGAGTTCCTCGTAGCCACGCAGGGCCCAGCTCAAGCTATGCACTTTCCCACGGAACAGGGTCAAGTCCACGGCTGCAGTTGGAGTGTTGATGGGGACAACCTTGACACGACCCTCCCCATTGGCCATGGCACAAAGTCCGAAACCCTCAGGACCAGGGGCTGCCTCCAGGAGGCAGTAGGACTGGAAGCGCTTGTCCTCCAGCAGCTGCTCCCAGCACTTGACCTCAAGGTCATAGAGATACAGGGCCCCTGTATCAGTCACTGCCAGTAGTCGCCAGGAGCCAGCCAGCGTCACAGCCTTGAGGGTACCTGGCCTGCTGCGGGACTTGAAGCAGAGAGCTGAGACCCCTGAACCCGGGTACCCACGCCCTACCAGGTGCCACAGCCGGATGCCTGAGTCATCACCCCCGGTGACCACCCAGGCCTGCCTCTCATGGGCAGCTATAGCCCGGATCCCACGGCCCTGGTGGCCCCGAAAGGCCTGAAGGATCTCACCTTCATGGCTCCATACCAAGCAGACACAGTCCTCTCCTGCACTGATAAGGTAATTCTCTAGGAGCTTGACCTGCCACACACGGGCGCTGTGCCCAAAGCAATGCCCAATATTCTGTACCCGACCCCCAGGCACCCGCAGGTCACCCACCTTCCAGATGCGGACACTTCGGTCTTCTGAAGCTGTGGCCAACAAGCCCTTGCTTTCCAGGTACGACATGCTGAAGATGACCCCCACATGCCCACTGACTCGTCGGTCAGGGGCCACCGGCTTATTGTCTATTAAAGCGGCTGCTGGGTACCAGACAAGGAGCTGATTGGAAACTGCACCTGCCACTATGGTCAGCTCCTTCCAGGTATCTCCGATCAGACAGGCTGAGGAGAGGGTGCACCTGTCTGTGCAGGGCACCTCCTGCAGCATGCACCCTACCACAGGGTCGTACAGCACTACCGAGTTATGGCCCAGGGCCAAGGCCACGTTGCCCTCAAGCCAACGTGCATCCCAGATCCAGTCAGTCATGTTCCACAGGCCAGAGCGCCAGAGCTCCCGGAAGCGGCCCTGTCCCCAGCTAACTTTCACAATTCGAAGTCCCTTGCTCCCAAACACAGCCACCATAGCCTCCGAGTCAAGGTCTCCATTTGGTTCCGGTCGCACCCGAAATCCATGGATAAGATAGTGGCCAAGCAGGTTCTGCACGCGCTTCATCATCCGCAGATGGCCACCAAAATCAAGGCTGTACACCAGGACATCCGGCCCCTCACCTAGGCAGAAGCAGAGCGCCACATCAGAACCTCACTCAACGGGGTGCCTCAGTCTGTAAAGCGTCTGCCTTCGGCTCAGGTCATGGTCCCAGGGTCCTGGGATGGAGTCCCATATCGGGCTCCCTGCTCAGTAGGGAGCGTGCTTGTTCCTCTCTCTCTCTGCCCCTCCTTCCTCTGCTTGTGCTTTCTCTCTCTCTCTAATGAATAAAATAAAATAAAATCTTTAAAAAAAAAAAAAAGAACGCTCACTCAACTCTGCCAAGCCATGAAGAGACGGGGGCAGGGAAAAATCGGGCATGTAGTATAGCCTGCGAATGCATTAAAACACACAATCCTGCTGGCTCGAACCCTGGAAAATCCTTGGCCTCAGTGTCAGCTGGACTTCTCAGTGCTGACTTTCGGACGCCGGCCAGTCGCCCGACACTCAGTTCAGCCTGGCTTCCTCAAACGCCGTCTCTTCCTCACCACACCTGACGCTTCCAGCAGGAACCCTTGAAGCCCTTGTCCCAAAGCCCCAGCTGCATCTGCCTCTACACACAGTCTTCCCACTCTCCCTCCCCCAGAGAAGAGGCTGTCCCCAAAGGTGATCCTCCCACCTTGGGACCACAGCAGAACCCCTCTGGATTTCTAAGAGCTTCTTCCTTGCAGCTCAGATGTGACCGTGTTCAACACTGACAGGAAAAACCAGGACAGGCGGCCGCCACTTTGGCAGCCAAGGCTCCCATGACCCTCAGCTACCTTCTGGCTGCCCTGCAGTCCCCTCTCACTCTACTAGCTCACCTTCAAGTTCTCTCGATGCTCCTCACTCCACTGATGGCCCCACTGACCGTTACCAGCCGGGTAACGGTCTACCCAGCCCCAAAGCAGGAAGCTCACCGCTTACCCCGCTAAACTTCCGCATCTTCTCATGTTCTCAGTCGCCAAGTTCCATGTGCTCATTTTCTAGAGATTTTTCAAATCCTTCCCACCACAGTGACTTTGGTCCAAGATATCTATCACCTGTTAACCTGAGATGACACTAACAGTCCC